GGCAAGGGGGGGCCGCAGCAGCAGCACCGCCTCCACCACCACCGCCACCATCCCCCGCACCACAACCACCAGCTCAACGGCCTCATCAGCCCCGAGCTGCGGCACCTGCGGGCCTCCCTCAAGAGCAAGATCCTCGGCTCGGAGGCAGGGGCAGCCCCCGAGGGGCTGGAGAACAAGCGAGCCAGCAAAACAATGGGCTCCGGACAGCAGCAGTCATCGCCCCCGACTACGGCACCGTGCTCGCCCTCCCTCACCAACCACCTCCCTCCCCAGGGAAGGACTGCACCCTCTCCTCCTCCTTCTCCCCCAGCAGCAGCAGCGGCGAGAGGGGACAGGAGCCAGCCTGCTGCCACAGCTACGACTGCTGCTAAGACTGCAGCCCGCAATGGACTGGCAGGAGGGACTGGCTTGGAGGAGGAAGAGCAGGAGGAGGGGGATGAAGGAGGGGAGGAGGAGGAGTCCCTGCTGCTACTCTCCAGGTCCTTAGCAGCAGCTTGCAGTTTGAAAGGCTCGGGAACGGACTCTCAGCCCGAGGAGGACCTAACGATACGATACGTCCGATATGAGTCAGAGCTGCAGATGCCCGATATCATGAGACTGATCACCAAAGATCTGTCTGAACCCTACTCCATTTACACATATAGGTATTTTATCCACAACTGGCCACAACTTTGCTTTTTGGTAAGTGCCAGAGGGGGCAGGGAGGGCAGGAGTTGGGAGTGGTTTGGGGCAGGGGAGGGGAGGTTTAAAGGGTTGGCATTTGTGGAAATACTTCTAATAATATTTTTGTGGATAAGGCCAAGCTTTTTTTGGAAGTCTCTGTCTTTCTAATGAAGTCCCCTTGTGACCTGTGTGTGTGTGAGTAAACCACACACACAAAGTCCCTACATTTTTTCATAGGTGTTGTAAGTGGTGGGAAAAGGGTTTGAGCACAGGACTGGGATCCAGGAATTGAAGGCTTCTAATCTTGAGTTTGACATTGACTTTTGTGACCTTTGGTAGCTTATTTTATCATTCTGTCCGAGGTCCTATGTTTGTATTTCAAAAAGAAAGTACTTCAGTCCACTAGTGTCTCTGCTTAGCAGCTCTTGCACAGTGGGTTTGGAACAAGACTTCAGCATGGGTGGCATATCAACGTTGAGTGATACCTGGAGAGACACTGGGAAAGGTTTTGCAGGTTATTTGATCTGTGAGCCTACTTTGAGAAAGCCAAGCACACCTGTATTGCCCCTTACAGGTGTGACAGTGTATGCAGCACACAGAAACTCTTGTGATTCCTAGATGGTCTTGCTGTGCTAATGAGGTTTTACGTCATTACTAGCTTTACATGGCCAGATCTAGATGGTGACTTGATAGATGTAGGTACTAGAATTACATCACTAGCCTTACATTCTTCCCACCACACTACTGACAAGACTTGATTCAGCTGCCTCCCTGTCTGAAGTGTTCAGTATTTCTCGTGGAAGAATTTATCTCGGTTGCAAAGCATGCTTTTAGGAGGATAAACCCCCCACAGGTATGTGAAACCGAGTTTCAGTTGGCCTGGGGAGCACATGTGGATGGTGGGAGCTTAGCTGTGTTTGATTTACTCGTAGGAGAACTTAGGGCTGGAAAACAGAGGGTTGAGGGGAGCAGATGGCACTTCCTTGCTCAGGTAAACGATGAATTCTCCTCTCTTGATGTTTTAATCAAGGCTGGATGCCTCCCTGAAAGGTGTGATTTAGCCAGAGCCAAGACAGCCTTCAGTTCAGGAGCATCCCTGTAAAATTTTAATAGAGTGTGAGTACAGGGGGTGAGGCTAATGGAATCCAGCTGGCCTCAAGCTTCCTGAATGTTCCTGGTTTAGGGGCTGGTGTAATTTATAGTGGGATTTATATGATTTATAGGAGGATTTCAGAACTATGCCTGTGAAAACCCTGACGAAGGGACTACAGTAGGATTACAGGAAGTTAAGCAAAGCAGTACCTCTGGAACAAAATAGAAATACAAGAATGTTTGAAAAGCTTGTTTGATGCAAAGTCAGGGTTGCCATCATAAGGATGCTGATCAGAGCAGAATGGGATTTTTCAAGCACCAAGCTACATGCCTGACTGATTTACCTCATGCTGAAAGTAAATGCTTGTGAGCCGTGAATATCTGTCCTTTCAGCATCAAGTGTACAGCTGGTGACACCAAGGTAGTGTTGGATGCTGTTCCATCACCATGCATTTGTGTAGACTTTATATCTTTTATTGTTTTTTTTGGCAGGGATTAACTTGAGAGCTTTGTTATGGAAAGAGCAGTGGCAAGTTGTTTGACAGAGCACTAAAAGAGATGATCTCTTAGGAGTGCATTCAAATAATAAGAGAACATTTCAGGAGAAGACTCTAACTTATTTTGTAGTGATAGATTATTTTATTTATTTTATTTAATAGCCTTGAAGAATGAAAAAAACTTTGCTTGAACACTCTGTATTTGCCATTCTTGTTGAAGGCTGGAACTCTGTGTATTTGCCTTCTGTTTGTTTTTTTTTTTTTTTGAAGGCTAGAGCAATGTAAAGTACATAAAACTGCAAAGAAGAATATGTGGCTGTGAATGTCCAAAGCTAGCTGGCTGTTATCTACTTAAATAATTTGAAGGTCTTGCAGTATACTGAGTCAAATGTGATGGCCTTTTTTTTTTTTCGTGGCCAGTTTTAGTATTTTTCAGGTTTGTTTTTTCAGAGGTTGCCTTGAAGGCTTTCTGTTCTATAAAATTTAATTTTTTCCTGCCATTAATGGGTTCCTGAACTGCTTCTACCTAATAAGTCTTTTTAAAATATTTCTCTTCAGCCAGGGACTGCACATTCCAGTTAGCAGGACCAGTGTCAGGGTGGTGGACAGAAGCAGTGTCTTCTCTCACTCAGTCTTTTGTCTCTAATGCCTTGTGGCCTCACACCTTTCTGTTTTCAGGTTATTTTGGTTAGACTGCAGTTTAGTTGTATTTGAAAAAAATCTCTAGGGGTTAAATCAGTTCCTTTACAGAATTTCACCATCACCATTTTTAAAATCTTCCAGTGCATGCTCACCTGCCTTCACTGCACTGTCCTGGGCTCTCTTCCCTTTCTCAGCCTGTCAGGGGAAAGCACTAATGCCATTTAAATTGAAGATGGGATGAGTATTTTCCATAAATTATCAGCAGTTGTCCCTTTTTGATTGTCCCTTGCTGACATTTATTTAGTATGCCATCTTAAACACCCTAATTTTCCTATCTAGCATTTTGGATACCTGACAATGCAGAGCTGCTTTCTGGGGGCACTATTAACATTATTCCTGATGAGAATTATGTCATGGCTTTGAAACTTGCTGAGTTTTTCCTTCCCAAGGTGCACCTTACACTCTAATGGCAGGAGGAGCCAAAAGGGCTGCTTGCTTTTTCTCGCTGACCTCTTCCTGGCTTGTGCCAACCTGCTTGTTCCTCAGATTGAGCCCTCCCAGCACCACCTTGTATTTGTAAGTGTGCCTGTATGTGTTTTAGGGTCAGGTTTCTGTTGGTTTAGGGCTCCAGATATATTCACAGTAGGATCTCTGGGCACTGGTGTGGGTACAAGGGAAGAGGTGAGAATATAGAGCTGGAGGGAAGGCCCAGGACCAACCCTAACCAGTCACTAGCATGCTGTGCTGTGTCAATCACTTCTAACTGTACGCTCAAAAAAGAAGTCCATGATCCACTTTAAAAGGACCTAGAGGTACTAGGAACCTTCAAAACCTGCTCATTTTAACATCAACTTCATCCACATGAACAAACTTCCTGGCTTTGGGGTAACCAGCTGGGAATACCTGGTGACCAGTTCTGATGGATGACACTGTCGCATTGGTGCTCTGACCAGACTCTGGCAGGGTAATCACCTTCTCCTCCACAAACTGCAAGTGTCTGCTCAAACTGGGGTTTCACCTGACATTGGCAGAGCAGTTTACACTGTGTTTTTACTCATTCCCAGGAGCTCTGTCAGCCCAGTTTCTCTTCAGATGACTTACAATACCCCCTTCCTGTGTCATTTTTTTGGCAGAGGAGTGATTACCCTTTGCATCATGTGAAGCATTTTGAAGCATCACTACAGCTCTCTCCCCATATGGATTCTAAATGCATTTGGAAAGCTGGAGCTTCCTTTTAAAGCGTTTTTCCAGCTTCTAGTCTTAGCAGTGTTAAAGTTCTAAAACTTCATTTAGAAACGATTCATTAAATATTCCAGAAAAATTTTCAAAAGACTTCAGCGTGGGAGAGGTGAGCTTAGGAAAGCACCTTCTGTGCCAAAGTTTGGGTAAGACAGGACGTAATGAAAGCAGAGTCCTGGCTGAGTGTTGTAACTTCTATAATTCCCAGTACTGCACCACTCCGCTGCCTTTTAAGAAAAATCTGGAAAAATCTCTGCTTTTATGGAGTAGTTAACTTTGCTAGCTATAGCAGCATTGATAATTTAAACTTTCAGAAGTTTAAAAATAACCTGTTCATTCCATGTAAGTGGTTTTAGATGCATTGTAAATCCTAGATGACTGCAGTTAGGATCTTGTTTTATACTAATACTTTCCCCCTTTTTGTTTAATTGAGGTTTATTCAAGAGTCCAAGCATACTTTGTGTGGAAATTAAGACCTGTAAGACATCATCTTACAGTTTTTCTTCTGTGGTAAACTTGGGGCGTAAAAGAAGAACCAGAAAAGTTAGGACACTGTCTGGGAAGTCTTCCTTGCCTCGTGGCAGGCGTAGGAAGAAACTCTGGAACATCCATTCCCAATTTGCAAACTCTCTGGATTGGGGCTTCTTCTTTGGAGCGGCCATGGTTGCAGATGCAGGCTTGCTGTGCTGCTCTGGGCTCTGGGAAGGCTTCACTGGATGCAGGATGACCCCGAGGAGGTAACAGCAGCCAGCAGGGTTGCTCTGGCAGTGCCCTGGCACGGGAGGGAATCACCCAGGTCCAGTTTCACCGGGTGGAAACGGCGACTTAGTGATTTGCCTGGTGTTGTAAAGGGCTCTGGCTGCACTGCCAGACTTTTGGTTAAAACCATTAGCCTAAATGTGTCTTCTAACAGCATCCAGCAACACCATCGCTGTCTGTGAGCCAGAGGATTCACAGGGAGCTCTTCCTGCGATGCTTTGGGGTGGATTTTGGTGCCTGTGTGAAAAGGAAGCTATGCTGCAGTAGCACAGGTTCTGCTCTATTTGAATGGCAAAATGTTTCTCTTTCAGGGGCTAGCAGCTCATTATAATCTTCTTTAAATTGGAACAAATGTCACAAGATCTGGGTATTAAATGCAGACTCAGACTGTGGCCGGCAGACTTAATGCCATCTCTGCTAATGAAATTAATTCCAATTGTTTATTCTGTGAAAAGTGATGTATTTGCAGATTTACAGATGTTTCTGTGCTAACTCTTCTCGGAATACGTGGTCTCAATATGAAGATATTAAAATCTAGTTTGCTTTAAACATTTAAACTTATTCCTAAGAACAAAGTTGATGCAAATACTGGATTTGAATTCCTGTGTGTTAATCCTGCTAATGACTTACAACTGAAGTAAACCTTGCAGTACTCTGTGGGTTTATAATATATAATAGTAACTTGGGCTGAATTCTATTTGTAGGAACTTGTATGTTTAGAAGTATGCCCAAAAACCTGAAAAGAAAATTTAGCCCTTAATGTCTTTTCATAAATGGTGTTGTGTGGGAACTATTTTTTTTTCTTGCTCCTCTCCACTCTCCCTATTTCAATCCGTTTTTTATTTTCACAGTTCAGACTTCTGCAGGGAGTTAAATTACCAGGTTTTACATCACATTTGGGATTTATTTCCAGCTTTAGGTAAGGTTGGAGAGAAGGAGAAAGTAGAGGAAAGGCAACAAAACCCCTCAAAATTGAGGTGGAAATGCAGCATTCCCTCTGTAAGTGGAACAACTGTAGATCAACTGGCAGACTTACCTGCCTGAAGACAGAGGAACAGATCTAAATGTTTGGGGAACTAGTAACAAAGTCATACTTTATTCAGCTCTCTGGCAGCAGTGGTAAAACCAGTGGGTATTTGCTTCTTTGATCACTGAAACAAAATTCTTTGCTGTTCATTTAGCATTTTAAATATATGATTCATGAACACAACTTTTCCAAAAAGTGCCCTGAACAAGAAAGAGCACAGATGCACAGTGTTTAGAATGTCACCCCTCTTGAAGTGTGTAAAAAGTGTATCTTAAATTTCTGCAGGACTGTTAGGATCAGCAGTTTGCACGTGTTCACTTCAGGGCAAAGCATAACTATAACATGCTAGTTTGTGGTTTGCTTTTTTTTTTTTGTAGTGAGATATAAGATTACATCTAGGTACTCTGCATAATTATAGCAGTGTTTTGAACAGTCTGTTTGGGGATACTCTTTATTTAACTCCCTGGGTTTCTCAGGTCTGAGGTGAGATACAAAACTTGCCTTGGGCCAAGGCTTTGCATACAGAATTTTAGTAGTGTAAATACAGCTTTTCTTTCTATGGCATAAACTGTGTGTTAGAAGGAATGGAAGACTGCTTAGAGGCTGTTTCAGTCCATTTAGGTCATGCAACAGGTTTTGTTCCTTGGTTTAGAAAACACTTGTTTAGATCGTTCAGGGTTGTTCTTGGATACAGCTAAAAATGTATTTTCCTGCCAAATTAAAACTTAGCTATAATTCTGTTTGCCTGATGAACTACATTATGGATGGTAGGATCACACTGATCATAGAGCCTTGGAACTGCAGCTCGTATGTTTTGGGCTGCTTTGTTTCACCTTTGATACAGGTCCTGGTTGACAGCTAACTTGGTTAATAACCCACTCTCTGGGGAGAGGTGTTAAAAGACATTTTTCTTGGGGAGAGGAGGAAAAAAAAAACAAAAACCTGTGTGTCTTCCTGTGATGCGATCTGCTTGAATGACTCTTCTGTCTGTGGGGTCTCAGCCTACAAGTTGTGAATGCTTGGAGCACGTGGAGACTCTGTACACAGCGAGCTTTGGCTTCTGAGGTGGTATGCTCTGAGGCCTGGCGGTGCCAGCTCTGGTGAGTGCTTTTCACCTGGCGTGTCTGACTGGTGTCAGTTTGGATTCTCCAGCAGCGCTTGTGCCACTCGTGCTGCTCTCCCCGGTTCATGGCTACACTGGAGCCCGAGGCGAGTCCCCCCCTGCAGATCCAGGCCTGTCACAGTCTCTGAATCCATTTATACACCCAGATGGACAATATGGAGTTTTTTTTCATGTCTGTCAGTCTTTCCTGAATGACCAGTAATTCATTCTCCCCTTGGACGCTGTCCTGCTCCGCAGCACCGTTCGCTTTCACTGCTACAGGTTATGCCATTAGTCCTCAGGCTGCCTAATCCTTCAGTTAGCATAGGACTTGTTTTTTCCTACACTCTCATCTATTTCATGGTAAAATTTTGGTGAACACAGCAGTTTTGCAAGTGGTTTGATAAGTGTTTGGGGAGGAGGTGGGTTCTTTTCGAGGTCTTTTTCTCCATATTTCAGAGTAACTGCATCTCCTTAACCACGCTCTTTGTGCCGATACCGTTGGGATTGACTGTCAGTGTGTAGCTCTCAACAAATGAAATATCAGAACTGTTAAAATGTGTGCAATTAACAGCGTGCTTTTCCATTTGTTCTTGGGTTTTCATATGACTGAAAATGACAGTTTCTAAAGATTAAGCACAGCAACACTTTTTCTGATCCTTTGTGGTATTGATATTAAAACCAGGCAAAAATTAAGTGTGTTATCTACCACAGCCCTTGTACGTGAGAATTCAGATCACTATGAAACAGGAGTGGAGTTATGTTCCTCTGCAGCAGCTCGTGTGAAAGGGTGATTTATGCCTTAACCTCATCTTTGTGTTGGTTTTTTCCCCCCTCCCCTTTTCTCTCACACCTGTTCTTGCCTGTAGACTGTGGAGTAATAACGTGGATCTCTCCAGGACAATTGTAACTTTATTGGAATGCAATAAAGAAACGAGTACTTTAATGTTATTTATACTTTTGGAGAAGTTTTAAAACTTTAGTTGTTTTTTTTTATAGCTTTATGCAAACAAATTTTGTGTGGCTGTTTCAATTAATGAACTGGTTTACTACTTTTTGGTAGCACTGTAGATCACAAACTGAGAATGCCTACGTGTATGTTTGTCTTTAAGGCCATGGTAGGTGAGGAGTGTGTAGGTGCCATCGTCTGCAAGCTGGATATGCACAAAAAGATGTTCCGCAGAGGTTATATAGCCATGTTAGCAGTGGATTCCAAATACAGAAGAAAAGGAATTGGTAAGAATAGCCTTTTTTTTGTTACTTCTTACTTAAATCCAGTAGTGGGATAACTGTAGCTGTCATAAAGATTTAAGCAAAACTGAACTCGTGGAGGTTTGTCTGTCATCCCTGCTTTACTCGACCACACAAGCTCCCCTGTGGCCTTTTTATTTTGTTGAAAGAACCTGCAGTGCCCTATGAGTTTTACATCTGGGATATGATAAAGCTAAAAAGAAAGGCAATCAGCAGCCCCTTTCCTCTGCCGGTTCCCACTGTCAGATTGCAGCAGGGGGAGATGCTTTGAATTTTCATATGTGCCCTCATCACTGTGTTTCTGTTGTGTTCATTCTGTCTTTTTTTCACTGAACTTATCCCTTGGCTTTCTCCTATGAATTATGCATATATTGGTTGTTGGGGAGAACGTCTGTAGCTCACCATTGTGTTAATAAGTGAAGAAAAGTAGTTGTGTATTGCTACTTGAATGACTGAGCTGAAGATCTGTTTTGCTGGGAAGTTACATGATAAAAGAATTTACTCTTGGCAGGGAGTTTGCCCTCCCTCGTTAATCAGTTTTGCCCTGATGAAGGGATTTTCATTTTAACACCAGTTATCCTACCTGGCTTAATTAAAGATCTGTTCTTATGGAATTTATTTTTTTTTGTGCGTGTTGATGATTGTGAAACTGCAGTTTGTGACATTTTTCACTTAGATGTCAGCTTTAAAGCCTAAAAATGTGCTTCACCACTCGTTCATGCTGAACAGCTCATACTTTTGAAAGAAAAAGAAAATTACTTGCAGTGGAAAAATGTGGTGATACATTGCAGAATGCTACCATTGTTTGGTCTACTCTCCAACAACAACAACAAAAAAGAAACTCAAAAAAACTTGAAGTACAGCGTATTATCGTGACTATTCAAGCATGTGTGGATTTTTTTTTTTTCCTCCAGTACAATTCAGAAGCCATTGTTGGTTTCTGTAGTGGAGCAGAGGGAAGAGAATACTGAGAAATCACTGTCTCTCCTTGCCTTTTAGCTGAGTCATGAAGGAGCTTGCCATAATTTAATTGCAGGTGCTTAGATTCCTAAGTAGATAAGAACTAATGCTGTTGTTATGAAGCTTTCTGCAGGATTTTTCCCTGGCTTTAGTCAGTTCATTAATTTAGAATTTGTATTTAAAGCCCTCCTTACTTTAGCATTCTGTATGTTGACTCTTCCCTACGTTTGCCACCTTGCTGTACCTCAAAGTATGCTGTTAATCTGAAGATCTGTTTTAAATGTAGTACAGTTCTGTCGTACGTTCAGTGAAAATCTGAATTGATTAAAGCTTTGAGAATACTTTAAAACATTCTTTAGATTCCTTGGGGTTTTTTTTTCCTTTTCCTTAGCCTTCTTATGGAAGTGAGATTTATGCAATTTCATTGAACAGCAGTTTTTTCCACTAATAACTTTGAAATCAACTTTCAATTTCACCCCAATTCTACAGACAGGTAGGGATATTACATTTGTAGAACTGTTGGGAAATAGATCAAAAATAATGATGAAGAATTAAATGAATGCTTGACTGAGGGGAAGGGATGGGCTTCAACCATATTATTAGATACTAGCAGATCCCAATGGGAGTGAGCCCCAAGAAAAGTGGTTTCATAAGTTCTGTTGCTAATAGAAGTATTTGTTTTAGTAAGAGGAAATTCCCTTGGAAGATGAATGTCCTTCAAGTACATGCCAGCAGATTTGACTTTAAATTCAACAAAAAGGAATGAATCACATCTTGGAGGGCTATATATAACACTATGTTAAACTTAGAAGCCTGTTTCTAATATCCTTGTGTTAGAAGAATCTTGCACTCAAGCTGAGTCTCTGGATAACTGCACGGATTATTTTCATGTTCTAAATGGAAACTGCAACTTGACTGCAGCTTTTTGTTTGTTTCTTTCTTTCCTCCTTGCTTTCCCTAGGTGTCATGTCATGTAGGTAGCTCACGTTAGTAATATATAAACTATCACCATTTGCACTGCAACTCTTGACACTTACTGAAATCTATATTTCAGGTACAAACTTGGTTAAGAAAGCTATTTATGCTATGGTTGAAGGAGATTGTGATGAGGTAAGATTTTTCTAATCCAAAACTTTCCTAATGTAAATGGTTTGCTTTCTCCTACATGTGGATTCATTTTGCAGGTTTTTCTTCCACAGGACTTTTTTTAGGTGGGAAGTGGGTTGGTAAGAAGCTGCCTTTTTTTAGTATAAAAGGGAAAATAACCTCAAAAAAAACCCTGTGGCACAAATATTAAGAAATTCAGACAATCCTTCTAAGTGCTCAAATTCAGTGTTTCAGGTTTTGTTTTACTTGGCAAAGCTGCCTCAGCCTTCAGTCACAGTCACCTTTTCCTCCAAGGACTCTAGTGTAAGGTGCTCCCGCCCAGTGTACCTTGCCTATTGTGTGCAACACTGCCCTGCTTTCAGGAGAGCCCCAGACACTGGAACAGGACGTGCTGCAGGATTGCAGAATGGGCTTTATTACAGCAAGTCACCAGGCTGTTCTGACAGTGGGTAGCTGTGCTATGTGGCACTGGCAGAACTCTGATTTAGCATGTCAAGGAGAACTTGGAAGGAAAGTGACTCAATCACTGTCACATTTTCTCTGGCCTGTGTGTTATTAGTCTTGCCTTTTGCCAGATTACAGTCCCTATTCTTTTCTATATATGTAGAGCAATTAAGTGTCTTTATGTGCCATGTTTAACCTGTGGGGATCTCTCCCTACATCCATCCTTCTTAATCCAGTTCTCTGTCCCTTTAACTTCCATCTCCTTGGTACAATGCAATTGTTAGCTTGTTCCTGATACGTGAGCACTGTGTCATTTCAGTGTGTCATAGTTAAGGATCCTTTGATCTCCCCATCACCTTGTTTCAGCTGCTTCTCAGCTGTCCTGCTGCAGTGTGGTCGAGCTTCTTACGCAGAACTGCAGGTTTTGTCTCCGGACTTCTGGCACACACTCTGTTTATTTTTCCACATGTTGTTATGCCTCTAGCAGCATCTCTGGCATCTGTTCTGACTCCATTCACTGCTCAAGATGTTTGTTCTTCCCTTCAGATAGATTCCCTCATGCCTCTGTTTATTGGTGTCTTTCCACCTCCCTCTCCAATTTGTGTTGTACTTGGGCAGCCTGGCAGTTCTGTAATTCTTTAAGTTCTCTGTTTCATCTTGTTGCTTCTGTCATCATATGAAATATGTGTCGCTTTAATCTGTTTTATTCCTTGCTACATTGCACTAATAAAAAAGGGGGGGATTCTTTGTGGTTTTTTTTTCTTTTCTGTTGCTTTCCACTATGATCTTGAACTCATTTGCCATTTCTAGAGCAATCAAGATGTTAAAAGATTAAAAAATAATTGTGGAATAGTATTGCACTGCCAGTTCACATTGCAGTGGGAGAACTGAGATGCAGAGAAGTGAATTGCCTGCTGTTGTTAGTCAGTAGTAGAAGTGGATATTTCTGCTCCAGCTACCAGGGTTGAAGTAATTACCATATGATTTCTGAATGTATGTGTGCTGCTTCTCATGTAATTTCATTTCTAAATTGGACTGTCTAACAGGTATGTGCATAATGATCTCTCCTGTGTCTGTCTTTTTTCCTACCCCTGTAATATTAGTCCAAGAGCAGTTCTGACTGTTTTTTATCTTTGTAAAAATGAAATAAATGTGATAAGGGTTGCAGGCTAGTCTGCAGTGAGACCTCATTAAGTCTTAGTCCCAGATTTACCATCTATGGTGCTGTATAAAGGCTTTGTACCAAGTGCAGAGGACATTCATTTTTCAAAGGCTGTTGCCATCCATCTTAATCAAAGGTGCTACAATTCAGGCTCCTCCAAGTGTGTGCTGGATCAGTGCTGCCAGGTTTCAGTTCCACTTTGGAAACTGTGTAACCGTGTTTGTGGGATGATGATTCTGAACTAATTATCCCCTGCTTCTTGGGGGCTTTTTGCATCAGCTGAGCCTCATGCTGGTCTGGAATTTTGAAATGGGGACTTGTTATGTATGTGCATCATGGAATGCAAGCAGAGTCATGTTCCTGACTTTCTACACTGGGTTTTTACAGCCATGGTTGGCAGAATGGTCACTGCCTGTCTGCTTGCTGCCTAGAGCTGATCAAACATGAAGTGATACAGCACAGCAGTTTGTCTTCATGAAGTCTGTAAATAGTTTAGTCATCTCTGCTGCTCTTAAGATATTCTTCTACATCTCTTCATGAAATCAGAAGCATGATGACAATAAAAAGATGCTGCTACTTGACTTAAGATGAACTGCAATTAAAAAAAAAAAAAAGCTCTTTTCTGAAACTTGCTTGGAATAGGATTGTAAACATGTATACACAGCTGTGGGGTCATGAAAAATTTCTGAAGGCTGTTTGGAAACTCTTCACCTCAATCAAATTATGGAACAGATGCAGTAAATGTACTTAATTTTAGGAATTTGTGGCATATAATCTGATAAATGCTTCATATGGTGTGTCACTTTTCAAAGCACCCTAGACTGGACTTTTGAAGGTATCAACGTTGAGTCCTGCAAAATAAAGGATTTATATGACACCATAGATGAAAATCTTAAAAAATCACTACCAGTGTGCTGGCATTTCAAAATAGGCTGCAATGTTTTAATGAGTAAGGATAATTTTTATTTATTTATTTATTTATTTTTTTTCTGTAAGCTCTTGTGGTGGGAATAAACTCAGCCAGGTCTTTGAAACAGGTGATTTACAGTGCAAGCTTCTGTGGTCAGCTGGCAGCCTAAGAGCTGCTTTATGCTCGATGCCATGCTTCAAAGCTGAGAAGCAATATCCTTCCAGCCAGGAGTTGTTTCCTGGCTTGAGGAAGCTGTGGTGTAAGTGAAGAAGTGAATTGGCTGGGCTGGAATCTGTGTGGAGGGGAGGAGCTGGCTGTGGAGCTGGCCATGGCCTACATTAGAATAGAAACGAGGGAAGTGATCTGATGTTGGGGGTGGGTGGCTGAACTAGAAATAACCTTCAAGCCTGAACAAAGTACTTGACAGCATGCTTTAAGCTGGAGTGTCTGGATATAGCATTACAAAACTTGAGGGATCTCTGGGGGTTATTTTATTTTTGTTTTACGTTGGTGACTTTCTCAGGCATTTGATGTTAATGAATTCTAATATTGGGGGTAATGAAGATTTTCAAGATTATAATGGCCTGAATTTCCAATAGGTCAGAGTGATTTAGAATAACTTTATGGGCTGGTTGCACAGAGAATGTGAACTATGGAAATAAATCATGTGAATAGTTTTACTCCCAGCTCCAAAGTTATGAAGAGATTTTTCTTCCAGTGTAAATGAGGAAAGTATGTGCTAACCCCAGCAAGCTGGGTGTCTGTCTGGGTTCTGCACATTTGCCTCACTTGTACTGACAAGCAGTTTCCAATAATTGTACTGCTTAAGACCTGCCTGTGGGACTATGACGTCCCTTAATGACAATTAGAAGACAGGAGTTGTTCATTCATATGTAGGTTTTCCATCTGTAAGCAATGACTGTAATGCATTCATTTTGTGTTACTAAAATAATGTACCATGCAGCTGGTAACTAATCAAAATAAGTAGTAAGTGGGATTTTTAAAGCTTTTTTAGCAAAATGTAGCATGTGAAAAGGAGTTGCAGCTTCTCTTGAGAATTTCCACTGAAACTTTATAGCATGATTTAAAGTGGAATTTTTTGACCACACCAGGACGTGAGTCATTGTAATTTAGTGCCACAAATGCAAAACATTAAATGTGTATATTTTTATATAATTGTATTCAAAATTGTCAAGCTATTGACACCTTAGATTTTTCTTAATACTTTAAACAATTTGTAGATTAAGTATTATATTTTGAGTGCTGCTTTTCTTTAAAAATTAAGGCAGTTATACTGATGAAGGACACTGGACATGCAGCCATAACTGGAGTCTGATGTGCCAGACTTGTAAGAATGGCAGCCTCAGAACATTCTCCATTTGTTTGATTTGGCTGCCTTCATTCTATGACTTGGTTTCTAAACTTGAGTGCAGTTTGAACTGAAGAAGCAGGAAGGCTTTGACCTTGTTATTTTTCTTTGGTTTATGAAAACATAGTATCAAGAAACATTGCACTCCACTCTCACTGTACTGAAAACTGTAGAAGTTTTCTTGCTTCTAAACCCAGTTAAAGTTAGATGGTTGAGATAAAATGTTAGGTTTATGAAATTTAAGGCATGGAGAAAGTAACAGCCTTCAGAAATCTGCAACTTGTGCAGAAAATGCTGTTAAAGCCAGTCAGACCTTCGCTGGTCTCCAGGGGAGGATGTGGTTGTGTTTATTAGAGGATTTAACAGGCATATGTGTGCAACAAAATAGACCCTGGGAGACCAGAAATAGATATAATGATGGAAGGTCTGGCACTTGACTGAAAATCTCACACAGGAAGAGAGGAATCTTTCACAAAATGAAGCTAATGAAACTTGGCTAGAATACGACCGCGGTGCCTGTTTAGGTGATAGAAACGTGTCTTTGAGATCAGCACGTTATGTTGAGATCAGGGAATTAAGTTTTATTGTGCTGAGCCTTCTGTAGAAATACCAGAGCAAATCTCTTGCATTTGCTTTCAAGATGAGCATTCACTCAGGTGGTGGGATTCCAACAAACCTGAATTTCAACTTTAACCACTCCCTTAAATTCAGTGATCTGCAGCGTTACAAGTCTTTGAGCATTGAAAGGTCTTTGAGCTTGCAGTTAAATACAGACTTGTTCTATCACTCTGCCAGGTTGCTAAACTTCTCTGAGAGTGAATACCTTTTGTAGCTAAGAATTCAAAAAATAGTCTCCTGCCCTGTGGATTTACGTGGGTCAGATTTCCTCTTTAGCATAATGCTTTGTTTGAATTTGAATTAAGAAGCTGTATGGTGTGCATAATTGTATAGGAACTAGCACAGTTTTTCCCCAGGAAAACTATTGTGCTTCCATAATTTGTTATAAATTAATAGTTATCCCTTTCAGTGGGTTAAGGATATTGAGAATACTTGATCAAGTCACAAGACTTGGTAGTAGTATTCTGTGAGGTGTCAGCTAGAGAAATTCAACCTCTAATTCTTGATGTAAGACTAAGAATTTAATTAGGTTGTCTTAAGTGCACAGGTACAACAGACTGTTCTGCTGTAATTTAAGAACTCAGAGTATTAATATTTTAATGTGTGACTCTTAGTTCCTTTTCAGAAAACAAATGACTCCTAAATCTTACGTTTTTCATTGGGTTGTTAGCCCCAGGTTTACTATTCTTTCAACATTCTTACACTGAGAAGTGTAGGAGGAATTATCCATTGGAATGTGGTTAGAGCGGCTTGAAACTTGAGTAATGGTCAAATATGTACATGAAATGGATTTTTAAATCCTATGGAAGGTGACCAGGCTAGCTGCTGGCTGCGTCTCTCTTTTACACTGGCTTATCTGCTCCTCAGACTGCAGAAACCAAACCCAGTGGAGAGAAGTGCAAAGGGTTTCCTAACAGGTTGCTTTTAGAAGTAGCTCAGCAACAGGGCTGGTGAACTGGCAGAAGAGGTGAGGAAGGAAATGTGTGCCTGAAGGCAGTGGGGTCTTAGATTCATAAAGTAGATTGACTTAAACTGCTCTACAAATACAGGGTGATATTTTGTTCCTGGTTTGGGGGGAGTGGAAAGGATGTTAACCAGTTTCCCTGCTTTTTATTGGAAGAAAAAGGCTTTGAGGTGGAGTAGGTGACTTTTTTTTTTTTTTTTCATTTGGACAGTTTTATGTCTATAATTTTAACTACACATTGGGTATCAAGTGCTGGTTTAGAAATAGCCCTTAGTGGACTTAGCTCCAGCCGTGAGCTCTGGTTTGCTGCAGAAATTGCTTAGGCTGTATTTTCATTGTATGGTCCTACAGTGTCCATTGGCTCTTGTTTAATATCTGAACCTACATTGTCATGGGACTGTATGCAGTCTAGTCAGCTTATCAGTTCAGCCTGTGGTCTTGCACAACCACCATCTGTCCTCAGTAGCAGAATCCTTAAACAATCGAGTTGGGCAACAGTAAAGAGGCAAAACTTTTATTTTTGAAGAAATTCTTGTGTGGAGGGGGCACAGAGTTTACCAGCTATGGCTGAGCTCTGTTCTGTGCCTTCAGAGAAAAGAGGGGAAAACAGTTCAGAGGAACACACTTCAGCAGTTCTGCAGTTAACTTCTGGTTAATGCTTGCCTGTGCTTGAGACATTTGGGACAATTTTGAGTCTTTGCTTAATCTGGATTCCTCTTACACTCAGGTCTGGTCTGAGCTGTTAGTGAGAGGTCTTCTGCAGCTAGGGTCCTATCAACCCAGGGGAAAAAGAAAAAGCTGCTTTTTCTTCCAGGTCTGCACTCTGGTTTGAGCTTGGTATACTTGCTGAGCACAAATATTTGTTGCAAACATGGGGTTTGACAGATAATTGTAGAAAGCTGGAGCCTGTATTATGTCTAAATCAATTAATTAGAGGTCAAAGATATTAAATGACTAAAGAAAACCTCATGTGCCAAGTTCTTGTGACATGCAAAAGTTCAGTGGCTCATTCAAAATTCCAAGTATGTTTTGGACCCTGACCAACTGTTTGATAGGTTGTGTTTGGGGTTTTTTGGGAGTTGTTTTTTGTATGTGTGTGTGTGTGTTTGATTTTTAGGAGGTGGGGTGGTGGTGGTGCTGGGGGGGTTCTTTGGTATTTTGTTTGGTGTTTTCCTAGCTATTTGTTTTTTCCCAAACTATTAGGTAATGAGTTGAAATACTCTTTACAGCAAAGACAATCTTTATGTGAATGAAACTTGTTTACAATTGCAATTGTTGGCTAACTGCTATTTTTTTTTTTTTTAAATGGTGGGAATAGGGAGGGATTGTTTGAATAAACCAGGACAAGAAGAAATTAATTCCACTCATCGCTAATAAATTAACTTTAAAATAAAAACTTTGAGATTGTTTCAACAGCCATGTAATTGCAACTGCTCTAACACAATACGACTCTTCTTTCTTTTTTTTTCTTTAAAGGTTGTATTGGAAACAGAAATCACAAATAAGTCTGCTTTGAAACTTTATGAAAACCTCGGGTTTGTGCGAGACAAGAGGCTGTTCAGATACTATTTAAACGGAGTCGATGCACTGCGCCTGAAACTGTGGCTGCGTTAGGAGAGACCACCCCATTGAGCAACTGACGCCCCAGCAGCAGAGTTGTCCCTTGCATGCAATGCAATTTGCAGAGAATTGCTTTGCAGGAGGACCTGGTAATCCCCACGCAGCTCTTTCTGTCAGTGTCTCATTGAGTGTCGCACATACTCGTTGCACTTTGGCATGGCGCGTTTGTTCTGAATTAAACCCGAGCCTTTCAGGCTTCCCAGTTCCTTTTGGTACCAGGAGGATGTGCCAGTTTATAGCCAAGATATGTTCATTCATTTACAAGTCTACTGACTGTATTACACACACACAGTGAACATTTTATCAGAGAACCTGTACGTGGAACAACGCGACTTTTGGTTCCAGAAAAAAAAACACAAAAAAAGCCAATGTAGATTGTAAAATTCTATAAGTATACTAACATTTCATACAAAAAAAAAAAAAAAATTGCCATAGTTTTCTGGGAAAAGGCTTCAATTTTAGGTTTTATTTTTCAATATTGAATTTTTCCATTCTTAAATATTGGTACCTCAGTGATTAGTGAATGAAAAAAAATGTATTGTAGGGTGGGGTGTGTGTTACAATGAGTAACAGTAACAATTAAATTGCGTCTGCCAGTGCCTGTATAGATAAGTATAATTGTCTTCACCTCTCAGTTTGGAGTGCATGCTTTTATTCTTTTACTTTCTTCAATTGTCTTTGCAAGAACAATTTCTGCTTTTATTTAAATTCTGGTTTTGATAATAAATTATTTCAGATTTTTATAATTTGGATACTTCTCCCAAACGAGGGTTTTGGAAGGCCCTTCTTTTCTTATAGCAAGAAGTGTAAGCTATTTTGAAAACCTGGAGTAGCTGCTAAAAGAGAACCTGATGCCACCAGGAAATCTCTGCTGGTTTTGGATGCACTTTTTTCGTTAAAAGAGCGAGGGACTTTTAAAAGAAGATATAGAAAATTAATGTAAATTGGTATGATTTTATTTAATCAAATTATTGCTAGAAGCTCTGAAAAACAGCTATTTTAAGATAGTTGGAACAATTTTTTTTTTTCTCTCAGATTGCTTTTCTTCGGTGTTCTAAAATGCTTCAATCTTTGGTTCTTGGTCTTGGAAATAAATTTCAAGGTGTATTGTATCCATTTTTCAGCTGCTCTCATTTTCTCTAAACTTCCATGAGCTAATTTATTGGGGGATTTTTTTCCCTTCAAAATCAAAGCAGCGGGGAAGGACTTTTCTCTCTCTTTCTCCCTCTTTCTCACATTCACTCTTGCTCTGTTTTCCTCTGTTTTATTCTTTTCCCCTTCTTTAATTGGGCTTACATAGGTTTTTACCAATACCCATCAATTTTTTTCAGTAATTACAGTGTCTAGGCTTACCTTGTTCAGTGTGATTATATAGCCCAGGTCTAAATCAGTTTGTTTTTTTTTTTTTTTCACTGTGAGGGGTTAAAAAAAAAAAACAGGAGTATTAGCTGACTTGTGGAAGACCCTATGAAATCTGTGAAAAAGGATGAACTCTCAGTGAATCCGCTCTTCTGTAGTTGAGCATATTCTTCAGGTTTGCCTTACTACACTTTTTTTTTTTTTTTTTTTTTTTTTAGGGTTTGGTTTGAGTCATGGGCTTTTGTTTTTGTTTTTGCTAATTACTGTACATTTAAAAACAAAACCAACAAAACCCCTACCTCCAGTATCATTTGGAAAAGGCCCTGTGCAGGAAAACTGGATTTTAAGGAAAGCCTTATTTTGCACAGACCGATTGCACATGGTGATGGGCATTTCTTACCATGTACAAATTATGAGTTGTATTTGAAAAATAAAGATTTTTAATGGAAATTGGCCCTTCTGAGTTTTCTGCTTGTAGACGACATTTGTGCTTTCCAGGGGGTTTGTTCCCCCCAGTAAAGAAAACTCATTTAAAATGGTGCCCGAGCCTTATTGAGAGGACACGTTCGAGTCCAGCAGAAAGCCCATGTGTTGCCACTGCTGCCTCGTGGCACCATAAAACCTTTTGCCCACGTTATCCCTCAGGTTTGCCAGTTGTTCTGGGGCAGCTTTTCAGGAGGTTTCGTTCAGGCTTAAGACGTTGATGGTGTTAAGTCAGTCGGAAGAGATCCCCCAGATTTCTCTCAAAGGTGTTGCGGTGGTGACTTCTCTGGCTTGCTTGAACTAAGGAGACAGATCCAGGAGGTTTCAGACCTTGTCAGCAGCTGTTGGACTTGTATCACAAACTGCAAACCAGGCTATCTTGTGTGTCTGCTGATGCTTTAAAAAACGGAAAAGCCAGACAGGCAAGTTTTCTATGGGTTAATATTTAAGCCACGGGTGTCTTCAGATTCAAAAGCTGACTTAGAAGTGGTCTGGAATCGCTTTTGATGAAGGCACTTGACAAAAGCAGTGCTGAGCACACTTCAAATACAATTCTGTTTGTCTGTTGTAAGAAGCAGTCGTCGCCATGCACGCTCTGAGAACGCTGAGCAAAATAGGTGCCCCTTCCTTGCCAAAGAGCACGTCGCCAGAAGGGTTCTGCTCGTGCTGCTGTGTAACACACAGGAAGAGACTGAAGCTGTAGATGTTGGTTCACATTGAAAGGAACAGATTTGTTCTTGCTGTTGCTTGGGATTTTTCTTTTTGTAAAGAGATGACAACAGGTTTTCAAAAGAAAAGTTGGTTATTTCTCATGTCTGTTGCTAAAACACAGTCCTCCCCCCTCAATCTAAGGAGTCAGTCACTCCTGTGTTAAATTTGCCCCAGTATTGCTGTTGGCTGACATGTCAGTGTGGGTGTTTGCATTATATCGTTGGGTGTTCTTTTATTTCAGAATCCATCAGGTTCAACATCTTCAAGGGAAGTAGGCATCATCTAATTGGCATTGCGTAGAACTTCACCAACTATTTTTCAGGGCACTGCAAGACTGGGTGCTGTGTTAAGAAAAACTGTCAGGTCTTGTATAAACATTACAACCTATATTGGAGTTCAGGTGTCAGGTGGGCATCTCTGAAAATATCAAGTGTATCTCAAAATACTGGACTGCTGTTTCGAGTGGATTATATTCTTCTGTCCCTTTATCCTTTTTGATGAGAACAAAAACAGTGGGGTTATGAAATGTACAAGCTGTCTAAATACAATGCAGTCAAATAAATGGTTAAGTTGTTTATCTATTTCCTTTTGAATGGAAATGTTCTAATGATTGCTTTGCTTTGTCCCCAAAACACGAACATGTGTTTGTTCTCCAGAGAGAAGAGTGGAAACATTTTTGCAGGAGTTTGTTGCTGGTTGATTTTTCATTTTCATGCCTGTGTTGGAAGCATTTTAAATAGCATTTATATGAACATCAGAGTCATAGCTGAACTAAAATGGATCCTTTTTGTGTGTCTGTTAAGTCATGACTCATGCAGTCATTCTGGGCTTTCCTGGGAGATAAAGGAGTGTGGGGTGATAGTATTTCAGTTGTAATAAGAATATTGAGGACTGCTTGCAGCCCTTGCAAATCTGAGAACTCTCTCTTCAAAGTGCATGGGGGAGCCTGTGGATTTTTAAAATCCTCTCTGTGCTTTATTCTCTCTACAGTGATGTTTGGGCTTCTCAAACTTTCTGAGGATTTCCCAGCAGGTGTTGTTGCCCACCACTGCACATTTTAAGGGTCTGTGACTTCTTTAAATCTGCAGTGCAGGGAAACCTCGAGCTATGACTTGTCCAGGGGAGAAGGAGATACCTGCAGGTGTGCAGAAAGGTGAGGCTTTGCTCCTTCCCTTCCTCTCTGGCTCCTTGTAGGGAAGACAGGACTATGACTTTAGATTTATGTTAAATTTCAGCATTTTCCTGCCTTATAACCAGAATAACTCCCTGAACTTTTAGCCATTGCCTTGTAGGTGGCTGGAACAATTGATCTTCAGGTGAGAGACATGGATTTAAATTCCACTATTGCATCCACAAGAATTTGCATCCTGGACCTAAAAAATTCTCCAATGAGCCCAAAGAGCAACCAGAAAAATTATCCAAAATAGTTTTTTGACATTTTCAGATGGAAATTTTTCCTGTTTTCTTCCACCAGCTAATACCTTGAGGTTTTAGAATTTTTTTTTTTTTTTTTTTTTTTTTTACAAGAAAGGATGCAAAAGCAGGAAAATAAGTTCAGCTGAAGTGAATGTGTCTCTCAGTGTTGGAGAGTGGGAGAAGCTGGGAAAAAGTTTTAGCTAAAGATGAATAGGGCAGTGTAACAGGAATGGGTTTCTGAGATCTTGTTTCTGTCTTGTGAGAAGATACAAACACACAAAAACCCTGAAGCAGCAGGTGGTAAAACACCAGTGAAGATGAAGGTTGAAGAAGTAGGTGACTGGGCAGCTTTATTAAGGTATGAAAGCTTTATGCAAAGCTAAAGTTAATGATATTATAAAGGAGGGGGCCAAAATTGTTGGTGATGCAACCCCCTTCAGCTAGCTCTTGGCAAATAGGTGTTGTGTCCACGTGAACACACTCCTTTCCCTGAGTAGTTTAGAGCAGACAACTAATTGAACACTCTTGTGTTGCCACGGCTCCCTCCCCAGGGGTGGTTGTGCTGGAAAAGGCTCTTAGTCTAAATCAAAATTAGTCTTTAATATAGGAAAGAATAAACAAATGAGCTCTCTGAGTCTGCTGAAAGTGGTTGATGTGTCACTTCTGCATGGTGCTAAGTGTGCTTCAGCCTCGTTGACTCCCAGGGTAAGGGCTTGCTGGAGGAGCTAATGGCATTCAGAAGAAAACCAGCTGCTCTTCAGCCAAATTAAGGCTGTCCTCTCTCATCTCCCTTCCCTGTGCAGTGACATGCTGATCTGAGACTCCTGGTGCCTTCCAGGCTGGTTCAAGCGTCCAAAGGGGCCTTTGCCTAATAGAGGGCTTGCCCCGTCCTTGGCTAATGCTGCTCTTCAGTGATAAAATTCACCAGAAAATGTGATTTATCCCGCTATTTCTGCCCCTCCCCTTTCTTTTCTTTTTACACAGATGACTCGGTCCAAGATCCTTTGGTTGCCTTGGGTCTGAAGTCTCTCTCGTGGGCTGTCACAGAGTGAATTTTTACTGCTCTAAACTGATCTGCTTGGGGATGAGTGAGCTGGGATGTCTAAAACATAAACACCCTCAAAACTGTAAATAAACTGGGAAGTGGTTCAAGCCACAGTCGGAGTCCTTTCCTGCAAAATGCTGAGGTTTTTATCTTGCTATCTGAAAGTGACATTCAAAAGATGGCTCTCTTGGGGCCAGAGAAGAAGTTCTTCATTACAGAAAACAGGGCTGTGTATGATTAAAAGGAGAGAGTGTTCTCCTAGAGGTTTTTTTTTGTTTTATTGAAGTGAAAATTGAAAAGCTGGCAATCTCTGGGCTGTTGGTGAAGCAACGATCACTGGAATGGTTTCATCCCTAAGCTGACAAATGGAAAGTGTAGGAGGCATCTGCAGAGGTGCCACCTTGCATTGGGCAGAGTTCTACATAGTCTCAGTCTATCAAATCCTCTACCTTATCAAAACACACCAAAAATGCACTTATGGAAATGTAGAACTTCAATTTTGGCTCTGTCCATGTAGAAATAGCTTGTTTTTATCTCTCAGCAGGCATCCTGTAGTTCTCTGTGAGGTTGTTTTGCAGTAAACCCTGTGTTCTTGGAAAGTCCTGTGGAAGAAGTGTGCCCCGAAAACTTTTCCAGCAGCAAAAAAAAAAAGGAATGTTTTGAAAGCTACAGAAAGAGCCTTTTCTCTTCCACAGGTCCTGGGAGGGACTTCTGGTTTTTGCTCACCAGCTAAAGAGCTGAGTAAATTCTTCCAACCATGGAAATAAAAATCAAAATATTTGGAAAAACATTTTTAAAATATCTTTTTAAAGATCTTCTGCCAGCTTCAGCTCTCCTCGAATCCTGTTTGAGCTTCAACCTGTCCTAACACTGAAACAGCATATTACTGACAGTAAGTTTTCATTGGTAAATAGTTTCCAGGGAGATTTAATTTAAGCTGTGAATTTCTGATCCGTGAAATTCAAATGTCATTTTTTGAGGTTTCTTTCAATTGTATCTTGCCCCAAAACTAGATTCTGGGAGTGTGCATCAGCAATCTGGCAGCATTGCTGGGGCTGCTTTGCACTGAGCTGCCTCTGAAGCATTCC